TCAGCCAATAATCAGATACACCATAAAGCACATCGAATCATAATGTGTCGCATAGTTTGAGTGATAATTGGATGATCGTATGCGACTATGTATTGTAATCGTAAAGCCTGACGAAAGTATTAAATGCCGGTAGGCTTGTCATTGACAGTGAGAAATCAAAAGCTTAGAAAAGCACGTATGCAAAACGGCGACAGCAATAGCAAGATTTTAAACCATGCAAATGTTGGATTCCAAAGAAGCAATGAGTAAACAGTGACTGATATACCCAACTATATGATTGGCCCAAGAACAATGATCACGCTTTTCAACTACTAGGCACTAAGGGCTTAAATAATCTCTTATTCAAAATAGACAAGCGCCAGATCGATCCGTATAAGGAGCTCCTCTCGCATACACCACTGTGTACCCTGGACTGGCATTAACAGAAGACAGCGCTTACGAACTAGGAAAAACAGTCAAATTGCTAGTTGATGCCCGAACTGTCTCAAAGCGTTGCCCTTGGGTTTCTGTTATGTGCAGTTGAACCTTTACTATCGCCTAGTTTTTTTAAAAGCACACTTGGTGCCTCCCTTGTGTGCAATCCAGTGTGCCAAAGAACCTTTCGAAAACGAAGGCCAAGGCAGTAATCAAAGTCGAAAACATTAGCACCAAGGCTACATAATGATGAGACTTTTCGGACAAGACCCTTTTCAGAGCGCGTCATAGCTAGTCGACTTTGGAGGTAATCCGTAACAGCAATCGAGACTTACTGGGGAATTTGAAATTACAAACCGTTTTCACGATCAGCCTGCGATGTGCTTTTGTATATTTTCTATATATTACATGATATAAGCCTCTCTGTATGACTGTGGAGCTAATCTGTTTCAATGAGGCGCCCTACCTCTAATTGGTAAGAGTACCAAATTCTGGTAAAATTGATAAATCGAAATCAAATTGGTCCCGATTCTACGCTCTTCTCCGTTATAGCGCGCTACATGGTTTGTGAGCACTAAAAACAAAGTCTCCAAGTGAAAGGAACGATTAAAGATGCTGTTGTATGCATAGGTAGTAATTCTAGTGCTTGTTTGATTTTGATGAAAAAAAAGGTGAAAATTTGAGGAAAATCGAAAATATATCATAGTCTAGGTCCTCCATTAGCCTAACTTTACTTCCAATTTGGTTAGAGTATTATGGCGAAATCATGGCAAACAGGATTGACCCATCACAAACCATCGGTTTATGAAGAATTACTTGTAGTTTTTGCTTAATTTCTTCTTATTAAACTTACTCTTATCGAAGTGAACTGGGTGATCAGTAGAACCAGTACTATCAAAGGGAGTACATTTAGTTTAACATGAATTTCGCATATTTGTGTTAGATACAGATGAACTGAACTTGTTTTCCTTTTACATGCATCGGGTAGGTGTCTAGAGTGCGGAGTGATTCACTATCATTGAACTTGCTATGATCAATCGAAAAGCACAGGTGAGCTGTTCTTCTCAGTCATAAAAGGTCATTGCAAACTAAAAAATCTACAGAAACCCACGTGACTCCTTTTTTATAGTCGCAATTATAGCTCCCAAAAAACTAGATATTTCAAATACACGGCGAAGGCCGCTTCGACAGGGAAGTCTTCAAAAACGGCGCACGCTTGCTGTGCTTTGTCGCAGCGAACGAGTGCATTAGCTGGCTGCAAAAGCTGAAGATAATTCATTTACACACGAATTGGACGAGTTGCCTTGAGCACGCCAGGCTCATGGAAGACCCTTTTTGAAACTGCTAGCGCTGCATCTATTAGCATTCCACTTGTTTTTAAACCGGTTCAATGTACACTGCATAGTCTCACAACTGTCAACTGCCTCAGCTTTCTTAACTGAGAAAACTTATCGACGAAGCAGGAGCTCCTGAAGATCACCGCGTTTCTTGGGCCTAATCATTCAGGCAACATCACGAATGACATATACAAGAGAACTGATCCAGAATAGAGGCAATTAAAAAATCTTGCTCCTACACTTACGCTTAGCCCTCGTCCTCATTTGGTACTCTGCGAGTTTTGCTTTAACCAGCCCAATGGCCTATAAAGCTTGGAAGTAGTGGTTCTTAGCCACAAGCCACTGATAAATCTCGACCAGCGTTTTCATATGCCCTTTGTTACTCTCCCCCGCAGAGTACAACATATGCGCTCAGTGCAGTTTTCGCTCGGAATCTGGGAACAAAACGCTTAACGGAGTGCGAACCAAGTTTTTGTTGAATTCAATTAAACGTAACAGCGGAAGGCGGTTCCTATTTAAGAGTCCACATGTTCATTGTATTATGAGTTTTATGTTCCTTTACCATGATGTTTCATTTTTACATTCCATTCAATTGATAAACCGTGCCAACGTTTTCGAGAGAAAGCTGTTGAGCATGCATTCAGAAAGGATCTTTCGCCTGGACATATATTCTTCCGTGAGCAGTCGTTTCAGATTTCCCGGTGGCATCATTACTGTTACGCATAAATTTGGCTATATAGTTGTAGCCGATTCCCCAAAAATCCAAAATTTTTACCGATAAAACCTTGCTTTTTTCATTGCAAGAGGCTCCTGCTGAGGTTTGAGAGGTTTCTGTTTGGTTATGTTGTAGGGAAGCTTTAAAACCTCGAATTAAAATTTTCAATTCAAGCCATAACGCTCTAACGGGATCCAGCAACAGTTGTCTCGTTGGGGTCATGATCGATGGCGTTGAAGTCTTTCTAGGTAGATAGAAAAAGTCCCGACCACTGATTATTCACTCTTCCTTCAGAATAAATGGGCTCCAACATGGAAATTTGATCAAACTCTCCCCTACACTGCCGAATAGCTCGCGATTTTGAACAACGGGATTTCCCTGCCATTTTCTCTACTGATTTTTCCGCTGAACATTCGTGTCCCTCGCTGTCTAAACTGTACAAAGGGCCCAGAATCGTCTCATGAAGCTTTTATTGTTCCCTGTTAGCATTGGTTTTGAATGTTGGACCCTAAGAGGCCGCTGTTTCCATCTAGCCTGAATCTTGTAGCTTTACGATTGACTATGTTGAGCAACTGTCGATTATATGTGCCATTGAGCAAGTATTTTTCTTGAGAATTATCTTCTCTACGATCGAATACGTTGTGATACCTGTGCCCACTTGTTGTTCTATAACTACGAACCCATACATTGCCTTCTAACGCTTTTTATCAGTCCTCCATCTATCATCTTTCTACCCGAACTAACTTCCCATTTCGTGAGTGCTAAAAATAAACAACTCTGTATTCACACTTTATCGGTGTCCCGTTTCAAGTTACGAAGTGAGCTACTGATCAGAAATCATGAAAGCCTTCCAAGTCACAAGATAAGGTTCAACAAAAAGTAGCTTGGACCATGTACGACTTTCTCTTCATCTCGACATAGCTAGACTTGTCTTTTGGGCTGTTTTAAGCCTTTCCGAGATTCACATTTTTATCCAGCTTACGTTTCGACCTCTTCGACTTCTTCAGAGCCTTGAACTCTGAGGCCAACAACTAGGACGACCACACAAGAACGAAACTTCTGCATACAATCGACCACAAACTCTTCGCAGAAATTTCGCTTTTGTGTGGTCGTCCTAGTGGTTGGCCTCTGAGTTCAAGGCTCTGAAGAAGGCGAAGAGGCCGAAACGTAAGCTGAATAAAAATGTGGATCTCGGAAAGGCTTAAAACAGCACAAAAGACAAAAAGTAGCTTGCGGCGTAAGTGTACTTCCATGTGGTTTTATTTTAAAATGAGACGTCACAGCTGTACTCAATGCTCAGATGTCAGCCGACGTGAGGACAGGTAGACATTCTTTTGGCATAATCACGAAATTCCGATTAACTCCGCTCAGAACACTGTCGGAAAGGGCCATTTATGTGCAAATCTTCAAAAACAAATCTGTCTGCGACTGTTGTATTGTTGCCCCCAAAGTACATTCTTTCGAAACGAGTCAGAAAGTGAGTACAAGGGAAGCTGGACTAGTTGTAAACTCCTGGTAACCACCTAAGGCAGCGTCTTTCCTTTTATTGAGCCAAAGGTGGTTACCAGGAGTGTCCCGCAAAACCAACAACAGTGTGGGTTGTTGTAAAAGCGAATCCTCTCTGGAGAAACCATTAAGGATTCCTTGTGGCAAAGCTCAGCACTCGACGAAGGAGGTTCTCATTCATAGTCAAGTATTTCTCACACAAGCAGAGTTCCTACTGGGAGCGGAACGTTGGCAGAAAAGCGTAGCATTGATCGTTTCAATGACATCCATGATAACTAGCTGTCTATCTGCATTACTTACCGATTCTACATCAATGCTCTCCTTTTTGTGTATAATCGTATTCGGCCTGTATATGAACTTCTGGTGAATATTCATTAATGTCGATCATAACATATAGTCAAAAAAGTTCGCGTGTGAGGCATTTTAAATTTCGGCGGCGTTACAAGGCAGTGTGTATGTTAGTGACGTTATGTGAGATTTGGGTATGGGACTAGACTTGAAGATGAGCTGTATGGTGTAGGTTACATAGCGCTGGAAGGATGTAGGTACTATACAAGGGGTCTATAAGACGATAAAGGCTACGTTGATGTGTTTGATTGAGGTGATCTACGCTGTCTGTAATGTGAGGTGTGTTGTATCGAATGTGTACGAATGTGTGTGTGTGGTGAGTTCTGTAATCATGTTCATGATTTGAGTCGTAGAAGACGTGTGTATAGAGCATGTGTGTGTATGGATGTGTGTACTTATATAAGAATGCACGTGTGTGTGCATGAGTTGTGTGGTGAGATGCGTTGGGATCAAATTATTCCACTTACATAAAAGTATATATATATCCATGTATGTGTATATATGTGTACGTGTGGGTGTGTAGTGAAGGTGTCCAACACGTGTGTTGTGTTATGTAGGTGATCCATTTCATGATCGCAGTTTGTCAAGTACATGAACCTGCTTGAGAGAACTTTGAACAGTGGTCATAAATAGCCGGTGTTGGGTGCCAAGTGCCTAAACGGAAACGTTTCACGTGATGAATGTCAGGTACATATATTGTAGAACACCTTTTGTAGATGGCAAGGCGATCAACCACAAGCCTCATATTAATCTGCGCTGTTCTCTCACTAATAACGAATTTTCCGTCTGGGTATACAAACGCCACGATCAACACAGCAGTTGCATCGGTTGAGCGGTTAGTGACGCTTAATTGTTCTCAACACAGCAGTTGCATCGGTTGAGCGGTTAGTGACGCTTGATTGTTCTATGTCCCTAATAAAAAAAAAAGGAATCGAGCAGTCAGTAACCTGAGGTCTTGTGGAATGAAGTGTAAATGTGAAATGCCCATGTCATGCCATTATTAGATCTTAGCACCTGATAACAAGGGAGCTAAGTGGTGAGGGTGTCATAAACTGACTCTATAAAATAGAAAAAAAGCGAAATGTTTATGTTTTTAGGTACATACGTGATTCGTACCAAATCAGAGGTTATAATATTACTGAAGATGGAGTTGCAATCGTGAAGGTAAGTACTACAAATATCGCTGTCAATTACAGAAAAAAATTTTTATTGATTCATACATTCCAAAGTGCTTTCTCTATACTTTCATGTTTCATGGAAATTCACAACCACATTCGTGGGCTGGCTATATGTAGTGGGTTGAAGATTACAAACATGTGACTGTTTTTTTTTTGTAGAGAAGTACAGAGCCAGGCTATACTGAGCGCTATGCAGAGCAGAATCTCACCGACGAAAGTAGAATATGTAAGAACTTCTTCAATACCAGGAAAGGTACGATGTTCGAGAGGCAACAGCATCGAAATCGTGAGCTGCAGAGTGAGGAAAACGGCTCCTCGGGAAGGAACGGAGTGTATGCACTTTGTTGTACTGTGGGGCAGCGCTAATGGGAATGTGAGCTTGACTGCATAGAAAGGGTTATTAGAGATTTAAGAGCTCCTCCCTTCATTCAACATCCTCAACGATCTTTCTTTGCTACAATACTGCATTGAATTTCGTACCTGAAGACCAACGAAATGAACCTTGTCCTAGAAAGTAATACCTGTATAAGTCGGACAGTTCTACAAGAACAGGTGCTACAAGAAGTGGACCCCTCTATGTACGGTATAAACAGCTAGGAAATTCTTAATGGAGCGCTTTTTGGGGAAAGAAAGCAATGGAGATCTGTTGGTGACTTGAAGAATAAGCAAATTTCATTCTAATGGCAAGATTCATGTGCAGGTTCCTTTCCAGCTCATTTCGTCGAGCCTTGTCAGCTGTTATTTCTGTTCTCTTCTTTAAACCCGACAGTTATCCCTAGACAAAAAAAGTTTTACATTCTCTTTTCAGCATGACATTCTTTGGTTCCATAGGTCTGCGACCAAGATTTACTGTCTCCTTTGAATGTTTTAATTCGTGGTGAACATTGTTCAGCCCTTTTGGTATGCTCAATAACTCTAAAAAAGCTGAGCTTCACCTGCAACATTGTACATTTACGATTAAGGATGTTCTTCAAAATGAAACACGTGCTGACTACATCGATTTTTGACTTGTGTCTGTCCATCTTTGAAATACACCTTTTTGTTGCCGCTCTAGATAAGGTGACTGACAGAAACGGCAGGAATGTATCCCTAACTGCTAGCTTGATGCAAAAGTCTGGAAGACACACATAAACCCCCACTCATAGAACTATATATAATCACGCGGGGGGAGGGGGGAGCGACAGGTCGGCTGATCTCTTCTCTCGGAAAGAAGAGGATTTGTGAGCTAAGAAGTGAGCCAAGAAATAAGCATTTCTGAGTTCACCAAAAGTGGTAAACTTCTTCTCAATCGGCACTGCTTGAGATGCTCAACAACGTGATAGTCAGAAGAGAGGACTTCTTGTGAATATGGAGCGTGGAGAGCGGCACTTCAACAAAAATCCTGTGAGATGAAGTTTGTACGTGGTATTTACGACGTGAATCCGTGCGATATCATGCAGATCTGATTCTGCAGGAACTCTTCAGAATCCATACCAGCAAGGGAAATGGATCAATTCGGATGTTAATAAGGAACGTTCGTTACTTAATCCAACCGCAGCGATGCCTAATTCTTTCATCCGGCTCATTGAATTGTCTGAACGGCGCAGCTTTCAAGCGAACTCGTAGACTAACTTCAGAGCCATCTTCGGAGAGTCATGGGAGAGAGAACTTTGGATTCAAAGTTCTTTCTACCTAACACTTTTGACGAATTCGCTCCTTCCTCCTGACGCTCTACCATGGCCAATTGATACGTTTGGGTTGCAGGGTAAAGGAATGCGCTTAGGAATTAGAAGAGAGTGGTCTTTAGAAAGACAGTTTGTGATGTGATACGCTCTCGGAAAGATCAGAAATTTTGGTAGAAGGTCGTTAGAACGCTCAAAACCATACCACGAAAAAGTTCACGGCTGCAAATACAAGCTGGAGATACCTCTTTCAAAAAGCTGGTACTCCCAAATTTTCCAGGGAATCGTGATCAACTGCTGGTTCATCGTAATGGTGTTTGGTGCAGCTGTCACACCATTTATAACGGATACTTATGGAAGGAAAAGTGAGTCGGTTCTACTCTACTACCAGTCTCATAGATATTTTTATTTGACTGGAATCGTATCGAATAGAAATGACGTATTGGTCGGTTACGGTTTTTCCATAGTAATGCAGTGTTCGAATTCCCCCTTAGAACCACAAAAATATGCTGCTTCTTCATACTGAACACCTTTCCAGTTGGATACATCGTGGCTACAGCTATTGCCACTGTTGCGACCATTATCCAGTATTTGTCAATCCTTTTCAACATTCCGGAGGCTTTCGTGCTTGGACGGTCGTTCACGGCATTCTGCAGTCCCTTGGCGGATGCATGTCTTCTGCTTTACCTGCAGGTAGGTAAATGCACTGTTGCCTCTTCTGAAACTGATCTTACAATCAGCTTGTCTCTCAACAAACCAATCATCCTGCAGAAAACATTGGTTTCGTTTTTCCAGTATGCTACATTTCTGTCATCGCTGCTCTTAGTTCATCACGGGGCCAGGCACCATATCTTAACATTACCTGTGTTTATTTCAAATCCTATCAAGGAGCGCCTCCCAAAAGTCTTGTATACAGAAATCGTAATACACCGGGGCAATGGTACTGACTTAACGTAATATTAATCTCTAGTTACTTCAGCTTTCACACTAATGAATTCTTTGAAAAAATCCAATAAAGCATAATAATTAGACAACATCCATAAAAATCTTGTTAATTAGACCTCTAATATGAAGCTTTGCTTTGCGCTTTGCTCTGGCGTTACGTCCGTGCTGTCGATCTTTCATTTAATTTAGCGACTCTACAAATTAGACGGCTTAGCGAGTGCTAGAGTTCCTATTCCATTTCATGTTATAGCGATTAGTCGCAGTCGCTTGGTGTCACATTTATTAAGTCATCGGAGCAACAGATGGGGACGAGGTCAGACTCTTTCACTAATTGGTAACCAAATGCGCTACCTGCCCTGAGGAGCCCTGAAGACGCAGTTCAGGATAAAATGGTTTCTGAGATTTGTCTATGATGAGCCCGTGGCCGCTAAGCATAGCAGGTGGGATTTCCAAAAGCGACCTCAAAGTGGCGTTGTAGGGGCCCATAACCGGCTCAGCAGACGTACAAACTCTGAAGCGGCCCCGTCATGACGGATTTTTGAGGCTGTATCAGTAACAAAGTGGCGTGAGGACTTTGACGAACAGTACGCTTATATTGAATACACCCATACAATTACAGACGCATAATCTCGTACAACCCACTTTCTTTCTACTTTTGTGAAGCCTAATATTTCATCCGTCGATTTTCACATTTTCATCGCCACTTTTGCACTATTCCGTCCCATACCTTACGCTATTTCTTTTAAGAGAGATACTCAGGATCATTTTGAACCGTGCCTTATTCATGTAAACAGACATTTCCTTGCATTCTTTTCGTTATTATTCGGTTCAAGGTTAATTTTTGAATCTTTCTTTACGATCGATTCACCGCTGATTGTACAATCAACGGCAAACCTCATACCTACTGGCCAATGGTCCTGGAGCGGTTCCGGGTTTTGGTTCTCGCCAATGCGATTGTACACTTCCCATGCGCGCAACTTGTCCAGTGAACAGCATTGGTCCTGGGAAATCGACCAGTGAACATTGCAGCCGTGTCTCCTGTTTGGTACGACGTTAAAAGGTAGTCAGTTTATCGGGGCATGCCGTGTATTTATATTGAGGGCCACACAGCAAAAGAGACATTTTTTCCTCCCTAGCATTAAACCTTTGTCCCCGCAAGGTCCGCTATTCTCCCCAGCTGTCTCCACTTCCTTCTATCTAGAGCATTTTCTGTTGTACTTGAGCTTCAGTCAAGTCCTCCTTGCCCATTTCTCGTCACCTCTTCTTGGTGCTTCCTGGTGCTCGCTTACATCCGGCATAGAACTTTATTGCCTCCCTCATCGGATGATTCTGTGAACTTCTCTACATGTCCGTACCAACGCAAAGGCTGCCTTCTCATCTTCTGCTGTGAAGGGACTGTTTCCGTGACCGCCCTGACGCTTTTGTCTGTTAGGATCCAGTAGCGTCCAAGCGTGAACCCATCCGAGCCTCGTCATTTCAGCAGAGAGAAACTGCTTCTCATGATTTTTACTTAATTTGGCATCGCTGCCGTAGAGCACCGCGAGCCTCACCACCGACCGTTACACTTTCCTTGAGGCGTCCTGGAGCAGCGTCGGTCGCAGAGGATACCAGTGGACCCCCTCCATTTCTTGAGAGGTTCGCCTCCCTGCGTCCTCCAAGTTGACGATCCTCTCTTTTAGTGACCATCCCGACTGTCCCGTTTAAGCGAATAATCGCCGTTCTCGATTTTGAATAACAACGGCGCACTCTTACTCTCGCTTTGTACGAGACAATACATTCGAAATGTAAATTTACTAGATTGGGCTGGGCTCGGTTGTTAAACGCCAGAACTGGTAAGAAGAGGGATGTCGTGCCGTTCGGTCATTTTCAAGGTGCAAAGGCTCGGTGTGTGGTTCATTGAGGCACTGTGGTAAGGTACCATTACCGGCATAAAACGAGAGGATACCACAAGACTATGCTTAAAAAACTCCCGTTCCCTTGGATCAAGAGCTTCCAAATTGGATAGGAGTACAGGCGGTAGGTGGAAGCATAGTAGTAGGTACCAGGACTAGAGTCCACCCATGTGGGACGGGGCTTGTGCATGCTTTGAGAAAAAAACATAATCTGTGTAAATTTGCCCTGTGAGGTTGAAGGAAAAGTGGAATGAATCAAGTTTTTGAACACACATGGGTTGAGCAGGATCCCACACATGAAGAGGCGCTCACGAAGTGTGTCGGGGAGTCGCGCGAGCGGAGGCGGGTTGTTTGGCCGGGAACTCGTAACTCATTTTCTTCTGTATGGAGCGCCCCTAGGTAGGCGGCAGGCGAAGTGTAAACGAAAGGAAGGACAGCCAAGCGTTAGCCGTTCGACCCGACTGGTTTATTATACAAATTTATCACATGCACTGCTCAACCAAAAACTTACCCTAAGCTGCTTTTTCTCTTTTCTTCCTGCGAAAAGTTTGATCGACTTCAACCGGAAATGTTTTTCATCATTCCCTCTTTTCAAAAGATCGTGATCGAGAATGCTTCCGCATTTTCTGAACTAAAGAAATAACTATAACCGTAGTTCGTAGGTGAAAACTTCAATTTCAGGAAGTATCACCGCTATCCATTCGCGGAATGGCTTCGTTTTTATGTGAAATTGGATATGGTGCTATGGTTGTGCTAGGAATGGTGTGTTGACTAGAACGCAAACACAAATCCTGTCATAGTTGCGAGCCCCTCTGACAGTTACAGGACTAATCCACTTGCAGGTGCTTGGCATGACGGCTGTGCTTGGGTCTCATCTGGGTATACTCGTACTGTTACCTATTTTTCCGCTGGTGTTATCACTAATCTTTCTGGTATTCATACCGGAGACCCCGAAATTTCTAATGATCATGAGGTGAGCTCAACTCCTAAGGCGTAACTTTTGCGTTTCTTTTCGTGAAGGCCTACCTCTGAGTACTAATCAATTGCAAGATGTCATTTTTATAGGACTATCAGGGTGTGTGGAAAGTTTTGAGAAAATTTTGCCTATCAACTTTGAAGCATGTTGTTCGCGAACGCGTTGAAGAAAGACTGTAGATTTGACAGCTGAGGAAAGGGTATTGTAGGTAGATCAATAATATAGGTGATCGATATTTACGTGGTACTTCTAAGTAAGTAATCGTAGACGGAAGAATGTGCCACCGATACGACAACCGCAGCCTTCTCCTTCTCCATTACAAAACCGATCGCTTTTCGGTATTCAGGATTGGATTGAGGTATGGTGACTGATGGACAGCACTGACCCTCTTTTGCCACCTACCATAAATGGCACGATCACTTCCTCTGAGAAGAGATTTGCTCCGACGAGGTTTGTCGAAGCAAACTCCCCTGTCCTTAAATACGGATACTGCGCTAACCTCCCGTCAGGGCACTGACGACCTCTACTTCCCAATCCATTATCCCCACGACACTTTTCGCAAAAGTCACTTTTAAAGCAGGACTCTTTGCATATGTCGCACATCCTTGAGTGACCAGGAGTATCGAGTGTGAGTCACGGGTTGTAAGGAGCTGCTCGACTGTAAGCAAACGACGAGATCAACCGACTTCATCATTGCTTATGATAAAAAATAGATGTCATATGAAAATCCACACAGGAAATGGCAATTCCTATTAGCAGACTCAAGGCCACAGCCTTCTATAAAGCGAGGCACTCACGCTAAGCAGGACATGAGCTCACTCTTCCTCTGCTCAACCGGGTGTTTTACTTTGAGATCCTAGGAGTGCACTGCGGTATGCACGAGAGTATTCTGCTACCGACTGAGAGAGGAGCGTTCGAGCCCCACTTTACACCGATTACAAGGAAATTTTCTATTGTGATGGATAATGCTTGACCACCCCTCGCGAGGACGTCGATGAATGAGCTGGAAAGTCTTGGTACAACCTGGTCATCCAGATCCACACATATTCATCTCACCTTATCCTATATGACTACCATACTTTCAGAACCCCGTAGGCCTACTCTACAGGAAAAATTCACTAACCGTATAGAAATCAAGTAGGTGGTAGATGAATGACTTGCGTCACGCCTCTCATCATATTTGAGGAGTATCATAAATGCCCAGTCCGGTTGATGGGGAGACCTTGTTGCTGAGGAGGGTCACTATCTTGATCCTTATCTAAGTTAGTTGCTGTAGCTCTTTTGTATTGAACAACTTAATTTTCTCAAAACGTTCCGGACCTAGTAGTATAATATGAATCACAAGGAGACCTTGAATTTTTTCGGAAAGACCTTGATTATCGCAATTCTTCGTATATGCTAGTTACGCATTCAAACCATCACAATGATTCTGAGTGGAAGTCGAATACGGGAGCGCTATCCAAAAAACTGGTCGATTGATACCAGAACTTCTATACCTTTATACGAGAGCTTTTTTTCCGGCACAGCTTTGAAACTGCATCTCCTTGTTTGGAAAGTGAGATAGACTATCTTTCCACCAAACCATCCTACAGAGGAGCTGCTAAGCTAAGCAAGTAAATAATAGAATCGCGCAATTCACCGCCAGTTACCCAGATTACGAAAACTTTTCATTTCTGTATATTCAAACGTTTGCGAGATGCAAAAGCTGTGAATACGTCGTGATGCGTTCGCAAATGCACCGAAACAAATCTGGAGTCTGTACTAAAAAGATGATAAGATGTGATGGACGCCTTGAAACGTCACGTCCTACTCGAACTTCTTGAGATGCACTCAAATTTTGTTGAAGATGTATCTTATTCAGTCAGAAAACTGGTACTCGCCTTATCCATGGCATTGGTCCAAAAGCCGTTGTAATCAATCAAGCACTTTATACTGCATCATTTATCGCAAACTTCGTGAACTATCATCACCAATCGGCAATTTGGCGAAGACTAAATAGATAATGGTTCACTAGTATGCGAGAAAAGCCACCGTGAAGGGCATATTTCTTCGGGCCAATAATGGGATGGCACGTGCGTGCTCATGATTTCCTTTTGTGGCACCTAGATGACCTTCATTTTTGAAATATCAAAGAACCATTCACAAAAAGTCGTCTTGTTCAGCGAATACAGTGATTACTTTAGTCGCCCATGTTTCTTTGAAACCAGAATCCTACTATTCAAAACCATATTTGCTCAGAGGACATAGGGACCGAAGTTTGAAAGTGCAATAGTTTGGAATAGATCTCGATATATGGCGTATACTGGAAGATGTGATTTCAGAAATGACAGACGAAAAGCGCTGCGGTCGTTGGAATTTTTCCGTGGCAGCCAGAAAGAAAATGAACAGCTTCTCGATTTATACGAGCGCGAGAAGCTCCAGGGAATATCACAGGAGCGATCAACACTCAAGGTTGGTCAATCATTTCTACAAATAGGACTTCATGTTACCAAGTGGTTCAAAGTACTTCTCATCTAGTGCTCCTTTTTGAAAATTCGGAAACTGAGAATATAGGCTATATGTGACTACAATTTTCGAAGACTTTGTTCTGAGAGATTTTCTGTCAGGCGAGCTGTTCAATTTCCTATATTTGGAGACAGCCGACGATGAGAATGTGTCGTATCTCCAGATTTTATAATATTAAGAAATCTCAGGCTTTGAGGAGTTGATGTGTGGAGTTGCTGCGCACAAGGGTAAGCGATAGCTGTGGCTGTATAGTTTGCGTTCAGCAAGTTCTAGTAGTTCTGTCCCTTCAAGCCCCACAAAACTATGAGGCGATGCTGGCGTCACTTCGATGCCAAATGTCTGATGGAGCGAAGCGGTTTCGATCTTTTGTGAGCCCATGATCGGCGACCAGTGGTCCCAGCGAGTAAATTGCTTGTAATTTCAGCCGCTATTCTCGCGTTTTCCCTGCGGCATACCATCTGAAAGATAATGGTACGGTTAAGCAATCACTAACGGTATATGTGGTTGCGAAAGCTTACATGCGTGCCCTTGTTTACTCATGTAATGGTTGCTAGAAGAACTCTCTTGCTAACCTAATACATTCCGATCTCTTTCGTCCGCTATGGCTGCTTTCATGGTCCGCCGGCGTGCCGGCGTGCCAGCCGAGGCAGTGCTAGGGGAATGAGGGAGGCAGACCGTCGGTCGACGCGGTCGCGTCGCGCCCAAGCCCCTTCGAAGGGCTGTAAACGAAGAGAGACAAGATCAAAAACCATTTGTACAAGCCCCTGGTTGTTTGGTTATTGATCTTGTTGTTCTTTGTTTTCAGCCCTTCGACCGACCGTCTGCCTCCCTCCTCTCCCCTAGCACTATCTTGGCCGGCACGCCGGCGGACTATGAAAGCAGTCTATGAGAGATATTCTTCTGGTTTGAGCTTTGCAACTGGGTTTCTTTTGATATGAGATGATTAGATTCTTCGAATTTCTTTGCATTCATAGTTTGAGTGCCGTCGGTGAAATGCCTTCTCAGGTTTGTAACAGTACAGTTTTTTGAGTTCGCTTTTCGTCGCTTTTTGGCGCTCCACTTCGCATAAGCGATTCCATTCATGAATTCTATTATCATGCATATGAATACCAATTCATTGTAACGCTCAATAACGACTTGCCTGTAATGCTCCATCGAGTTCCTACAGAATCCAACAAGGCTTAGAACGTCAAAAGGGTATAGTATGTGTTGCGAAACCACTCTTCGCATTTCTTACTCTTTCCTTCCTTCCCACAAAGCGAACTCTTACCATCACCACTTCCTCCTGCAATCAAGAAGCATCCATTTCTCAACAAGTATTCAGAGGGCTGGACTTGCAGAGCAAGAATCAAACTGAAGAGAAGAATGAGAATTACTCGAAAATCCATAATCGATGCTCTCGATTTCTGTGAGTTAGACGATGAGTTGTCAGTTAGGTAGGCCAATGGACTGTGCAATACACGTGCAATTGTTTATTACGACGTGTAAGATAACCGACAATAATGTACAAATCTGTAAGCTTATATATATATAAATGCGGGCGGTGCCAAGAGACCTTGAGGTTTTTTACTGTATAAGTACGATTAAGACATGCGATAAAAGGGCGCTTCGCGCCAACAGCAATGCTTTGGTTATCTACTTGATAGCACACTTATGATACTTATGGATCATGCCTTCGGTATCGTCTCAAGAGATACTTGTAATAAATAATACCTGAGGTGATTAAGTGAACTAGTTGTGAGCCCATAACAGTCAGCTCCTGTTCATGAAATATTTGATGAAGTGCGAATTCTCCCGCAAAGCATTGATTAGAATAATGTAGTGAACCTAGTCATGAAGTGAATATGATCTTACAATGTTCTTTATCATTGTATAACCTAGTGGAACCGCCAAAGGAATTGTAAATCTCAAATAATCATGATCATGATCATGATCATTTTTGTTTCTAATTCCTATGCTGTTGAGTTATAAAATAAGTCTCCTAATTTTAGGAGATTTGCGAAACATGGAATTTAAGGCAAGCTGTGTTCTTGGCAGTCTCCGTGCTTTTTCTAACGTGGTCGTTTTATCCTATGCTAACGTCATCAACTGTATTCTTGAAGGAATCTAGTATTCACAGGTGTGTTGCAATGAAACTACTGCTAAAGGCTGAATTCTGTATTCACACTTTACGATGTAATTCTTTCTCTTACATAAACTAGTTGAATTATGATCCTCATTCAGAAATGCGGCCGAACTGATCTCTTCATTGTTAATGGTCGTTTTTACAATTTCCTCCGTCATTGGTTCTTCTTTTGTGGACAAGTACCCGAGACGTTTCCTTGTGCTGTTCTCCGGCATATTAAGCAACGTTAGTTTTATACAGAGGTAGCATTAGTAAATATTTTTTTTCAAAAGACGACTATCCATATGGTGCGTTTGCTTACATTATGTGCAACAATGAGGTGCAAGCACATCATTTTTCAATCCTAGAATGGCTGTCGGTACCGGAAATGATGTGGCAATTCTACATACTACGTAGATATAAATACACTACACTGCGTTCACTAATGGTACACCCACCCATGAATTTCACCAGAACTCACGTTCCAGATCATTTCAGGAGAAAGCTTAATATGGAAATTGTGCCCTATTCGGACCGTTATGTGTAGACCAGCAGCAAATTCCATTTCATGAATATGGACAATTTCCCCTCAATTTTTAAAGAAGACGTCACTTCGGTTGTGTTCACGAATGATACAGCCACTAACCAAATCATTTTATTCAGAAGCTAAATGATAAAAAGGGACGGAGGTAACGTGACCAATAATCAGTTGAGCCCCACTCCTTCGGATTACTCAAAAATACCATTGTTCATGCTAAAGTGAAGGCTGTGAGTGACGTCTTGGTAACATGCCTAACGTCGACGATTGCTTTCCTCAGCTGGCACGTACCTCCAAACTGCTTGTTTCCTCCATAACTTACCATGAATCCCCATGCGTTTTCCGATAGATTCAATTTAGCTGTTAGCCAGCCACGGCGATTTGGTGCCGACTGAACCAGACCTGGGTGCTTCAGCTGACGTAATCGGTGCATTATCCTGCATGAATACAGGTTTAATTGTCGGTTCTGACGCCAGAAAAGGAGAAGAGCATGGCGCATCACGACTCGATTACCAGAAGAGTTGAGCTTTTCTGAACAAAACGTAAATGAAGACGTTTACGAGATGAATTTCCCAGCCATGCCATGATTCCTTTGAAATTACTCCTGGATAACTGGAGCTTATCCATCGAAAACCGTGCCTGCAGGACCGATTTCTCGGTGGGCCATCACAGCTACCTTTTTGTTCATTGAAAAAAACAACCTGTAGAACGAAACATCGTGAGACGGGAGATTACTCTGCACGAAAAGCCATCAAAAGGCACCTCACTCCAGCCTGTTCGTATGCAATTCCTGACAAAAAACCCGAATATCGCGATGCCTTTCAGCCATAAAGAGTGCCCTCCTCATTGTCCGCTCAACAATAAACTGAGACTTACTTTCCACTTTTCAAACAGTAATCGAGACACTGAGCTTCAGAGAGGACTCGATAACCGTATATGACTTAGTCATTTTGGACGCTCCTCTCAAAATCCGATATTTAACCAGAAGTGACGAATTCCTTTTGCTCTCATACTCGGTAAGATTCCTAACGAAAATGTCGACAACTGCGTGGCATCGGTTGAATTCTCAAGCGATTTACGATTTAACATTCCCTGTTCCTCTTTCGCAAGATCTTAGCTTTCTGGAAATCGGATAGCAACGTTCCTTGAAATTATCTGAAAATGGATAACACTACACAAATGAAGCAATTATGTAGGATGAACATGGAAAGCGACGAGGAAATGTGAGGTGGCTGTATCATTTGCGGACACAGGCAAAATGACGTTTTCTGAAAAAAATGCAAGGAAAATTGCCCATTCTATTGAGAAGGAACTCGTTGCTGGTATACAAGTTACAATCCGAAGCTCGAGCTCGATCTCCATACTGAGCCTTTTCTAAAGTGCTCTAGCAGTAAGTTCTGGAGACATTCATCGGTGCCTGTATCGTTAGTGAACTCAGTGTATGGGGAAGCGTTATCTTGGCAATCTGCACCATTGACAACTTCCATGCGTCGAGCCGCGTTGTAATCCATTTGAGGTACCACTTAGGATTGCGGTCTACTCACGCACAGTCTGTTTCAATGGTTCAATCTTCATGAACCTTGGTCTCTCTACAACTTTCGGGTTTGGCTTTAATTAGTCCTGCTTCTCTGTTTCGTTCATTAACCTTCGTGATAAAAATTTAGACATTAGTGACAAAAAGTTTTAAGATGCCTTTCACCTCTTGCATGCGAATGGTTGTATGTCTTCAGATTAGCCTTCACCCTTCTCAGAGATGCAAGGCGTTCCACTTAGGTAACTACGCAGATTCCAAAAAGACTCTGCCTCGAAAGTTTTCAAATTCTGGAGCCTATGTTTGGGACATCCCATACAATGGATATCTATCACTTATGTTTCTCTACTATTGCTTGATTACAAGACTACGTGGCGTGACCCCAGGAGGCGGATAAAGGATCATTTTCGGTTGCCCATAGAAGGTCCTGACAGGTGTACCATGCACACGTGGTTTTGCAGGTGCGGTGGGCGTCCTGCACATCGACCCATTCAGAAGCTTACTATTGAGGGACCGAAATGAAACCACGAGAAGAGTGGTTTCATTTCGGTCCGAGAGACGTCTAGGTAAATAAGCCTCTTGTAAACTCCAGAAAATTCTGGCCGAATATTTGGAGTCTACCCAACCCACATCGGAGCATGCTATTCATGGCCACTCATATGACAAAAGCACATATATAACAAAACCTCATTCTCCTTAATCCGCTGAGGCCCCCAAAGCGGCAGCATAGTGTTGGACCGCTCCGGATAGGCTGCTGAAATTTCAAAGTATAAGAGGTTGTCTAGAAGGTGGCAATCTCTATTTCAGTGCAATGAAATTCGGCCTATACAGATTGCCTCGAAGTGGGGATATCGAAGGTTTGATGATGCAAGCCAGAAAGATTGAGACCCGGCGTTATCGGACTGATCGAGACAAGAGGACTTCTCCCGTTGCAGCCGTTTTCAAGATGAAGAAGAATTTTTACAACATGAGCAGAGGCGTTGACGTTACAGGTGCCCTCGTCGATACACACTTGTTCATGAACATCAATTCATAAATAAGCTTGGTTGATCGGTCGTTTACGAATAGAAAGATTCGGCTCAACCTCAGCTAAACCAGCAGTTGCCTACGCACCAGCATCGAGCTACGGAGGTGGGGAGCTAGAAGCTGGAAAGAAGTTCATATGTATGGATCTGAGAGACTCTTCAAAGAACACACTTCCTTCAAGTCATTGTTGGTGATTTCAAAGCCATGATTGACCCAAAAAGAGTTTAAACAGCTATACATCGGGAAATGAGCAAGTGGTGAAAATATAATACCATTCTAATGAATGACCCATCATAATTTCAGTATATCAGGAAATGAACTCAGTGCTACTTGTTCTTCTCTGTTACACCAGGGACATGCAAGTTTCTAACCAACCAGGGAAAGATCCCAACTCGAAGTGGCCATTTGTAATAAGACCTATACTGCTAGACGTGTTTTTGGGCGCTGAATTCAAATCCGCTTTCCAAATCTGCCAAGCGATTCTCTGAGCGAAGTTATGAGGATAGTTTTAGGTGGCATTACATGAGAAAACTTAAATTACATGGAAGCAGCTCACTCCTCAACGGCGGCTTGGTGTAGTGGTAAGCATGACACTTCATGGGCGAGAG